CCCTTAAAATCGTTGAATTAAGTGTGAACCATAAATCACAAGATTAGCTTAGAAAACTCTGTCACTGGAAGAAAATGTTGCTAGTATTTGATATGAGATCAGTGTACTTTTGCTCTAAATTAATTTTTTTCTGTGGTAGTTTTCTCCTCCCCTTCTGAGTCTTCTGCCATGTTTCTTATGAGGTGACCAGAGTTCACCTAAGAGGGATGAACTCGCTGTCTCAGTCAAGCTTCTCTACATCAGCAGCTTTATCAGCTCCTGGTGACTCAGCATAACCTTTAGCATTCGGTAAGAATGCATTCAAAAAGAAACGAATGCAATCTATCCCATCAGATTAGAGATTCTGCTAACTATTAAGATTGGAGAAGAGTTGAGAAATTCTATTGAAAAAAATCGAAGTATTTGTTTCTTCTTTTTTTCCTAAAACTCTTTAACACTTGAGCAGAGGCTGCCTTCATATAAATTTATTAATAGAATGAGAGATCCATTCAGTCATGCATACAATGGCATCTAGAAAGAGTGCGACAGAATGCACTCTTCCTGTTTTGAACAACATAACTAATGCTCTCTGCTGCTTATGCTTTTCTATCTCCATTTTAATTCTTGCAGTAGGATACTCTTCTGTGCTGTAAAAACAGTTCTGAACATGATGTGATTAACCTTAGGGTCCCCCCAACCCCTTGTATCTCAAAACCCCCTTGTACATGGCCTATGCTTTCTATTCATGTTCAACCATCTGATTTCCATATCATCCTGCTCAGCCTCACAAGCGGCTATTAGCATAACAGAGCTTTAGCGTGACATTGATTGAAGCCAGTGCTTGCTGAATGCAGTATCAAAGCATAATTTTCCAGAAATAAAATCTAATTTACTGTGTACTATTTAAATTTCTAAAAAAAAAAAAAAAAAAGAAAAGAAGTTTCAATAGAATTATATTAGGTCTGTAGTCTTAATTGTTGTTTTTTCATATTTTTGACTAATCACCTGAATCCAAGCAATATATTTCCTTTCAGAGCCATTGTGACTTTCAAATGTCAATTAAGCAAGAGTTTTTCCACTCTGTTTATTCCAATGCAGTTAATGCTACATCTGAAACAGTAAAGGGAAATAGTTGGATAGGCACAACACTCGGTTTGCTGCTTCATAACAGTTTTTTCAACAAATTCTTCTAATGACCTTAATGTTTAGCTTGAATTAAGCATTAAAGTACTGCTGAAGCATATCAAGCCTGCTATTATTTCTCTAACTGTACCTGTTCAGAATATTTTAAAAATTCACCTACTTTAGGAGAAGCAATAATGGCATGAATTAGGTTTTGTCCAACGTTCCACTGGAGCTGGGCTTTGCGCAAGTCATGATCCCAGTTAACCTTTCTGCAAAATAGGAGCAGTAATATTTATCTATCTTTATAAACAGCATCTATATATGAAGGTATTGAGCTCTATTTTTTGGAAAATTGAAGAGCCCAAGTGCTTATGCTGTCAAAGAAGCCTTGCTGTCTTTGAGCAGGGCCACGTTGCATTCTTTGAGGATAATGGCAGTCTTACTGCTTTGGTGGTTATACTTGACCGAGAATTACTCTTGCAATTGTGAAATGTTACTTTCAATTTTCAATTTACATTATTTAAATAGAGCTTCATAGATAAAACTGATGTGGTGAAAATGTTGTTTAAATGTTGTGGACAATGTCATTTTTATCAGAGGCTGTCTATAAACAGAGCTATATCTGAATATGACAATGAACTGGAACAAAATGGGGATTTCCTTCACTATAGAACCCAATTTTTGAATAAATTAAAAAAGCACATACATGGTTTTGTACTTCAAAAATGATGATTTTCGTGTTCTTTGCAATTATGGTATTAAACAGTTTGGGTGAAGGAATTGATTTTGTGCTCTAATTAACGTAGTGATCAATAAAAGTCAGCTTCTTGTGAGATCAAGAGATGATATTTAAATAAAAGCTTTGATTCATTTATTTATTTTTGTAGTGAATTTCTAGTAATTATGGCTGCAGAGAAAAGCTAGAAAAGATATCCTTGCATAGCCATACATCATTGTTTATTGGAGTCTTCAGAAAGTCTAAACTAGTGGCTATGAGGCCATGGATTTTCTGTTCACCTAGTATGGCAAATGCTGTAAAGGACTTGGTGTGTGGCAGGGAGAGAACAGAGCAACCAAGTCAATCCACATCATTTAGATTATATGGACTGAGCTACAGCCTTAATTCCTGTTTCTTTTCCTTGTCTCTTTTTGCAAAAGGAAGGATCTTTTTTCTGCTCTTAGGAAAGTGAGAGATGTTCCAAGTTAGGGGTAGGTCAAAAACTAGAAACTGAGTAGAAACTTTTATCTTTATAAAGTAGAACATTTATCTCTCATGGTTCCTTGACTACCAAATTACCTTAATTTGATCCTTGGAAAGTCTACTACAGCAACAAGTTCAGTTCTATTACATCTGCTGAGAGCTTTGAATTATTGACTTACAGTACAGCCTTGTGTATGTGAGAATGTTTCAGATGAACCCTTAAACTTATCTACCTTGCATTTATTGGGTTACATGATTTGAAAGATAGACTCATGGAAATGCCATGCCCTTCTTCCTTCTGTTGAGCTGTCTCAGAGCACTGTCTGCATAACATACCCTCAGTCACCAAGCGCGCCTAAGAAGTGATTTTAGGTATTGATCATGTTTAGGTATGATCTATGGAATGGTCTCCTGACACCAGGTTTTTAGCAGCACGATGGAAAGATTATGGTCTGGAGGCCACTCATAACACAGCACAGCCATACAACTCATGCATAGTTCCTGTCAAATGCAGATATAACACCTGAAGAGGTTAGAGGTTTTCTACTCTCTGCTCTGCCTGAGGTTGCTATTGATTCTATATAAATATCCCGGGCAATGAACTTCTATGGCTGAGCAGCAAACACCGAACTAATTCAGTGACCTTTATTAAGTGGGTGGTCAGAACTGTAGAGATACCTAAATGTCAGGTGTGCCTATCGCAATGGAAGTTTCTAACTCACAACTTAAAGCTCTTTCTCTTTTTCCCTTCCCATACGACAGATGAACACACACATGCGCTGCTTGCCACATTACTGTTTTCTGACACCTGTAGGGATTACATACAGAGGTACTAGGTAAAACAAGGTGAGGGAAAAACAAGTAACTTGCTGCATCAGCACTTTAGGAATAGTACAGCATGACTTCGGATCCTAGAGGATATGTAGCAACACATATGCTCTTACAGAAAACTCAAAACATGTGGGTGTAAACAGGTAGCAGCAGGGCACCTGGCCCTTCATCCCTGCCCTTTCAGAAGACTAACACCTACTGAGGACCAGAGAAGAGGTGGACACTTCACTTCCAAAGAGGCCAAAACTTGTGCTTAGGCGTGTGAGGCAGAAGGAAGACTCCTCTTGTCCTTGCCCTCTGCCTTCTTTAATAAACATGTGATTCATGTTTAAGTGCTTTACAGTTCTTGTTTTAAGAATGCGTTGTACCAGCACTATTCAACTGGTGCTTTTTAGACTCCTGCTGATCTGTAAAGCCTTGGGAAGTACCTCATGAGATAACTGCAAAGTGTATTTCAAAAAAATCAGATCTGCATATATTTCTATGCAGTTAGCAGATTTGCGTCTGTGCTGTCAGCAGGTGTAATCGGAAGCTGGGTCTTGATTGCTCTCTGTGCCTAATTAAATAGTTTGTAATTATAATGGTGAAAATATGGTTTTCTAAAACACTTAAATTCTGTTTGCCTAAAAGCTTAGTGTTCCTAAGTCATCCCTCTTCACAACTGTCAAACCAATAGTGGAATAGAAAAAAAATGAATGTGATGGGGTTTTTTACTGTTTTGTCCCCTTCTTCAGCCTGCCCCAAAAGTCAGCTAGTCTTTTGATGAGAATATTTGGAGATACTGCTTACATTTTTAAGATATGCTAAATAGTATAAATCCAGTTCCATTGAATTCCAGTGTTGAATCAAGACTGGAAAGTTTGCATGCATAGAAAAGTCATTTGCTTTATTGCTTCATGCTCAACATAGTTGCTCATGTCAAGTTTTTTCTCTCAAATCTTCCCCACTTGCCTTCTGCACATTAATGCCTTTTCTCTCCCTTCTCGTTCCCACCAACCATTGACTCTATTCTCCATCAGTACCCCAGAGAAGTCAACCTACACCTCTCTTTTAGAAATCGTTCACTTCTGAGTGTGTTTTCTGGTCCCTTATGTCTGAACACTATTAATACCATCTACTTAAAAACACAGCCAGTCCTGGTTCTTCTTTCTTAACTCCACTCTCTCCTTTTTCCTTTTCCTTGTCTCTTTCTGATCTTCTTCCTCACTGCTGCCCACTACCTATTCAAATCTCGCTTCTTTCTTGTATTTATACAAGTGGAAATCTGAATCTCCAAGATTCAATCTCCCCCCACTGCTAAGAGAAGTGGGGGAGCTCTTGAACTTCTGTCCTTCTACATTCATCCAGACCTTCCTCTCGTTTTTCAATCATTTTTAAAAGACTAGAGGGGCACACTGAAAAAGGCAGTCTGTATATCCTAACTCATACCTTGCAACACGTGATAGCTCCAGCACAACAAGCTCTGTGAAGCATAGAGGCTATGAGAGTGCTGATATCTGCCCAGATGAAAGGTAGAATACTTTCAGAGCTGGCATCATAAACACATGACTGCTGCTCCTTAGCATTTATTATCATCAGAATTTACTCTAGCATGTATGGTTGTAATATTTATTTCTTTTTTTTTATTTTATTTTAATTTTTTTTTACAACTGGGGCTATCCCATACTGATATTGCTGCTCTTTTTGTGGCTGTTGTTGGTTTTGTTCATATATTAGTTCTGTCTATACAAATTAATGTTTCTGGTGTTATGTCCTTTGGCATAAAACAAATCTCCATAATGTTGTCTCTTTCCTTCAATATTCCTCATCTCCCTGTTGCAAAATATCCTAAATTTACACCATGTTTTTTTTTTTTACATTGTAGCTCCTCCACAGTTTGTGGTGAGACCACGAGACCAGATTGTAGCCCAGGGTCGAACAGTGACTTTTCCTTGTGAAACTAAAGGAAATCCCCAGCCAGCTGTTTTCTGGCAAAAAGAAGGAAGCCAGGTAAGTTGTAAGCTCCCTGTAAGTCTTCCCTTGTAAGTCCCTGTAAGCCTTCCTAAATAGTTAAATTGTTAAATTTTTCAGAAAATTATTTCTATTACTTTTCACAGAGTCTTTTCAGCTTTCACAAGGATTTGTCTTTTAAACTATTCTCTACTGACATTTTTGTTACTGGGTTTTTTTGTAATATTAATATTGTGAAGAACTCAAAGGCTATTCAAGTTGGTGAAACTTATGCTAGGTGCTGTATAAACGTGTAAAAAGCAGCAGTCTTTATCTTAAAGACTTTTCATTCTAAAGCCCCCAATAGGTGGATGAGACAAACGCAGTAGATAAAAAAGGTATGACTTAAGTAATCAGTCAGTAATTACAGTTCACAACCTGTCTAGACATGATCAAGCAGGTATATATCTAGCAAGCCGATTTGCATTGGCATATTCTTATAGTGCATACAGATATAGCTTTTGAAAACGCAGATGCTTTTTTCAGTAAAATTGTCCCAGGAAATTCCAAATCTGGTTTTGGAAATATTTCCCTGATCCTTTAGTGTCATTTTTTGAAAGCCAAAGTTCTGACGTAGCAATCAATGTTGCCATCAGCCAGTACTAACTTTTATAGCTTAATACTTGAATGTCATGCCATAACATTTTTTTGCTGCTGTTGCTGTATTGACAGGATGTTACAGCAGAAGTCAGGCCTTCTCACTTTCAACATGCAGTTCATGTTAGTATGTTAAATTTGAACACTGTAAACTGTGTGCCGTATTCTCTTTTGCACCTGAGAATAGATTAAAAGGGGCAAATGGAAGCCCAAGGACACTGCCTTCTGCAGCTCCTTGAGGGAGCCTGTCATGGCTACGTCTGTCTACGTATCTATACTATGTACCCTTCTCCATTGGCTAAATTAACCTTTTCAGAGCCCTGTGCTACATGTTCCCATATGGCAACATTGTGAGTTAGCTCAAGAATCCACGCTGTGCTGTGCAGGGCAGATGTGCCTTTTGTCTCATCTGGAGACATTGTGTGTACCAGCTCAGTTAAAAAGCAAAAGAAGAACTGAATCGCAGATCTCCTGCTCTGCCCCACCTGCTTCTGAGGTCAGATAACTGGTCCAAAATGACAGGACCAAGGCTGACAGCGTTTTGTGCTGCGTTGCGTTTGTGGCACTTTGAGTGTAAGCTTAACCTTCAGTGTGTTTCTTTCAGTGTATTATTTGGACAGCTTTAGATCTAGCCTCCATGGATCACATCCTGAAAAAACACAGTATTGTGAGTCCCACTAAGGTGAAAATTGTTCCAAGGGGGAAGTAGAATAGCATATTGAAATTAAAGTAGGAAGTACTGATGTGCTAGCAAACATTTCCAAACCCTTCCTTGTAGAGCATTTTAATAACATGGTAATGTTTATGTAAAGTGAGCTTATAGTGTCACACTTGAATCTAATAAAGTGGACATCCATCATGCTGTAATAAAGAGAAGAGCTTCTAATTAAAGTAGGACATCATTTGCAGGATTAAAGTCATTTAGCGTAATTGAAAAGTGTTAATACTCTATTTTCTCCTCTTCCATTGGTATCACTTCAAGGGTAAAAACATTTTAAGGTGAAAATGCATCTTGTGTCTTTAATTGAACGCTACTACCTACTGATTGTACCATGTTGAATCTGTTTAATTACAAACCTGGAAAATTAATTACCATATTGAGAACCAGATCCCTGAGGGTTAGAATGGTCCTTTTTGGCAAATAAACGCAACATAAAAATTGATACCTACATGGTTTATAATCAAACCTTGAAACATATCTCAATGTGATTCACTACACCCTCATGTTAATCTTAATTGAGCATCAGTGAAGAAACACAGGTTAGTGTTACCATCTCAGTATGCAACTTTCCAGATTACCATAGAATAGGTGAGTTTCCACATATTGTATATTGTCATGCAAATCTGGAGGATGGTATTTTGGCCAAATTACGTGACTTTTCACCTTTGCGTGCCCGGCTGTAAGTTGTTGCTTGGCTTTACGCTTGCTTCTGCTTTTACTTGAGGAACCAAAGCTGTAAGTTGTTGCCTGGCTTTACAACGCTTGCTTCTGCTTTTACTTGAGGAACCAACCGTTTGCAGCACCACTGCTAGTGTTCAGAGTAATGTTATGTAGTCGTGTTAGCCCACTCCGGTAATGGTAGGGCATTTTTTATTGTGAATCCATTTCTTGATCCTGTGTTTCTGAACACAACCAGCTGGAAGGGAGGGGAGCTGTTGCCTCCTGAGTCATTTTTTGTGCCAACATGTACATAAACAGCTGGTCCTTTGTACTCGGTAGCCTTTTCCCCAGAGCCTAACAGCAGCCCTCCAACAAAATGCACCCGGGCGGAGCGTGTGTAACCTTTAGACTCTCTGGATTAAAAACTTCTTTGAGGTAAATTCAGTCAACGGTGACTCTGAGCCTCCTGTTTGCAACCTAGCATGCCACCATTGTGCCTGGATGAGCGACCTGACAGCTGATTAAAACCAGTGAAATTGTAAAAACATTTTAAAAGGGATTGTACTGTAACATAGGACAAGTTATAATTCCTAGTCTTCTGGTCTTTGAACGGAAGAGTCAGGAGACTGATGGACTCTTCTTGATGTGTGAAATATTCACTGGGACATTGTACCTCTCCAGAACAGACAAGCTCATGCTGAAGATAAAAAGAAGAGCAGCCTCCCCTTGCTAATGCAGTGATAAAGAGGATTCTGGATCTTTTTCCTCTTAAAAATCAGGAGCTTGATCCTTGCACTGTCTTTTACGGCTTGTTTCTCTTAACACTTTGCATAATGAGTGGTAAATGGAGTCAAGCTCAGCTGTATCAAAATTCACTGCTTTCAGATAAAATTTAGTAGAGTTTTTGAAATACCCTCATTCGGTAGGTATCTGTGCCAGCCAGAGGTTATTCGGAAAGTTTCAAGGCAATTCAGAAAACAAGGCAATTTTTGAGACCTACTTAGCCATGTAGCCTGAAATTGTTTCAGAATTTTCACACTTTTTTTCTTATTGGATTTGACATGTTTACTGGGTGCATATTGATTTTCGAGGAAAAATTTGCTGTGAAAAATTTCTTGAACATTGACATTGAAAGGGGGTTAAGGGGAAAGACTCACCCTAGAGTGACAAGTAGCCTAGTGGGTTAATACAATTATAAGGATACTTGGAGTGTCGGATCCTATTTAAAGAATCTCTCTCTCCTTTTATTACCAAAACCAGAGGGATAAAGGTGTGAGTTTCACTTCAAAGAAAAATTTCTAAAATCTGAGTTTGTTGCTTGTCAGTTCCAAATCATTTTTTAAACCGTTAAGGTCTACTGCAGAAGAAGCAGATCTACAGAAAAGTCATTTAATATCCTGCTCTATACTTTCAGATTTTCTTTCTAGCCCACATAGACAAGCTTAAAAGTGAGTAGGAAGTCGTCATTAGAAAGCACAGCAGAGCTATACAAAGATGCAATAATGACTGAAAGCTTATCACAGCATGGTAACGGTGTTTTTGGGATACTCCTGATATAAACAATTGAATTTTTCATGGAGGCTTGTTGAGTTGACATAAAAGCCAGACTCTATTTTCCTGGAATTACTGTTGCTTAATTATTGTTTAATCTGTTTTCTTTTCTGTCTCATTGGGCATGCTGCTGACCTTTCTGTTCACATTGCCTCCCTTTTCCCATTCTTTTTTATTCACTTCAAGAGCTGTGCCAAACAGTATAACTTTTTCCTTGAAAACACAGCCCTAACCACTAAAACCGTTTCAGTCCTTTTCTGTATTATTGATTCATTCAGTCCTTCATCGTATGCTATGGCTACTACATCCTTTCCAGTTATTCTTATTGACATCTCTCTTTTCTCCAATCCAGCCCAAAGGCAAATGTTAATCTCCCTGTTTTTTGCTAACTGATGCCTTATCCTACGTGAAATTATTTTTTCTCTCTGATGATTTCCACATCAGATTTATACTTTCTCTTCACTCTCAAGGCTCCATGCTGCTTTTCTTGTTTCGTGTATCTCAGTTTTAATATCCTTTTACTTCTCCTTTAAGCTCTCGTGCTCTCCCAGTTTCTCCTACTTTGTGATCTGTTTGTATCTTCCTCCCAGCTTTAATTCAGTGCCACACTCTTACTTTCTCCTTTGCCCGGAACGTATTCACAGCCAAACAGTAGTACTAGGCTCCCTCAGATCTTCAGAATTCAATTCTTTCTGCTAGTTTTCTAATATTTACTGTAGTATTATGGCCTCCTGGTTTGACAGCCAGCTGAGTATATTATTACAATTACATTCAGAATGAAGATGAATGTGTCACAAATACAAGCCACTCAAGTGTGATTGTTGGAAAATTTCTCCTCGCCTATATCCTCAGCGAGAACACACCACTGTGTGCTGTCAAAGGGCTGTTTCTAATTTAAACTGCAAGTTGCCCAAGGCAGGGAAAGCTAGCTTTATGTGTTCATAAAGTCATAACCACACTTACTTTTTCTTCTAGTTTATATATAGTACTTTCAAGGAAAGATCATTGTCTCTCTAGCTGAGGGAAAAGTGGTGCTTTTGTGTTTTGAATTGATGTGAGATGAATTGTCTTTGCAGAATCTACTCTTCCCAAACCAGCCTCTCCAACCCAACAGCAGGTATTCAGTGTCGCCAACAGGAGACCTCACTATTACCAACATTCAGCGGTCTGATGCAGGCTACTACATTTGTCAAGCACTGACGGTTGCTGGAAGCATTTTAGCAAAGGCTCAGCTGGAGGTTACTGATGGTGAGCTATAGAAATTCCTATTGTTTTTTCTTGTCAGAAGTATTTTAAAAGCAGTGCAAATAAAGACGTATGAGATTGTAATTCATACAAGTAAACAGACCAGTTTCTACAGAAAATACAAAGTATTTTAAAAGCAGTGCAAATAAAGGCGTATGAGATCGCGTAATTCATCCAAGTAAACAGACCAGTTTCTACAGAAAATACAATGAAAAAGGGCCTCTGGGATTCTTTGTGGTATCAAAAAGGCATCAAAGTCTAGTTTGCCTTTTACTTGATTTCTGGAGGTCCCTTAACAGTGCCAGCAAGGGACAAACCAGCTTAGAATAGGGTTGGTGAGAAAGGAAGCTACTTGATTCACTACAGCTAAGATAGGACTGCAAAAAAGCATGATGAAAATTAATAGGCTTGTGATTAAAGCAGTGAATTTGGGTGGAGAAAATGAGGCTCAATTCCCACCGGTCTTCAGGCAGCTAGTTTGGAGATATGTCCTTAGCTCAATTAAATCAACACAGTTATCTTGAACTTACTGGAGTACCATTGGTTTAGAACAGCTACAACATGTAGCCCTTTAGCCCCAATGTGAGTAAGGCACCTACCTCAGAGCTATGTCCTAAGAATTTCTCAGTATGGTTAGGTGTGAAAAGAGCCATGGAAAGGTGTAGGTACAGGAGAGTTTTCAGGAAAGGAAAAGCACTACATGATCTGTCTTGATGCTTTCCACTTCAAAATATGGAGTTTGAAATTTGTCCTGCCTTGAAGTTTACCTTACTTCATCTACAAACATGAATCCTTTTCATACGTCAGGAATGCTGTTGATATCCCTGTCATCCCATTGTGGATAGAAGGCAGTTTGCATCCTTCAATGTTAGTGAAGAAAACAACAGAATTCCTCTTATACTAGGAGATTGTGGCATTCCCTGGCATCATTATTCCTTATCTTAACTGACTCATTAAATATCTCCTGACAGACTTTGATGAATTTTTGCCATTAAAACTGTTGTTATATGCAGAGGTCTACTTTTACTGTTCCCTTAGAGACCTACCTGCACCATGAAAGTTTGAAAAGATGTCTAATTCTGAATAATCTGGCTTTTCACAAGAGCGTATTCATCACAAGTGACAGGTAGAGAGGTTCAGGCTCATGTTATAGAGGTTTGAGCATTAATTTGATGCCTTTTCTTTGTTTTCCAAAAGCTGTCTATATTTTTATGACAAGGGGAGATAATTTCTGCCTTATCCTTGCATCTTTACAAGCACATTGCTTTTCTGTAAAATAGCTTCTGGACCCTAAAGGCTAACCTTTGATCTGCAATCTCTTTTAGTCCTTTCTCTCACGGTCTATGACAAAATGATGCATTTTCATTCAATTCAAATTTAAATCTAGATTAAAAGGTCATTTAAAATTAATGGAAAGGCAGTATTTTTTAATATCTGTCCATAGTACTGTCTGATTTAGTGCCATGACTGTGATTGGAATAAATAGAACACACAAACATTGGCTAGGAGGACATTGAGCTGTTAGTGGTTGCACCTACTGATGCTGTACAGATTTACTGCATCAGGGCTGAGTAGATCAAATCAGGTTCAAGGATATCAGTGATGAGAAATTCTTCCTTTTGAGAGGCTATACCTGTGGTCCATCTTTATCTATTTCTTGGGTGGGGGGAAAAAAAAATCCTAATTGACCTCTTTGGAATTTTCATTAGTTTATATAACAAGTCAAAAGAAAGCTCATTAAAGTGTCCTTGCTAAAATGCAAACTCATCTACAATTAATTTTAATTAAAGGTGACATGTATTCCACATTGCTAGAGAAAGCATTAGCTGGTGGCTCTGCTGCTCCAGGAATGCAAGGCCTGTGTTCTTCAAATGTTTTCCAGAACCCACTGTCAGTGTGGTCATTATGAAATAAAACAAGGTTGCTTTATAGAAATACCATTTCATCCTTCAGTCAAAGGGCGGGTGAGGTCAGAAAAAAAAGTGCCAAAATAATATTGTGGAACTGAGATTACATAAATAAACATATCATTAGATCACAGATATTTTTTTAATTGCTTTCAGTTAGGAAGTTAACCATAAATGTCTAAATAATCTGTTTTGGTTGATGCTGAGCAGAAGTTATGGAAGCTAATGATTTTTATCAGTAGGGAAATCTAATTTAATGGTTTTAAAAATATAATGGAAGATAAATACTGTGCATGCTAGCTATACACTTAAGCATTAGTGTTATAGTTTTTGGCTGGTGATTTCAGTTTTACTTCATAGCCCAGAATTTTTCTGTTTGGTTAATGATTTAATAATAGTGGCGAGCCATCTTTTCCATTTTGAACACATTTTTGTTTGATCCAGAGTAATTTAGATCCAATTGAAGTTCCAATACAGAATGAAAACATATGTCATGTGCAGAAAAACAAGTGCTTAATTATACCATATATAGCAGTGTTTCAGTTGTTACATTTTTGCACTTACAAGTCTTTACTGGAAATATTTTTAACTCAAGTGTTCACATGAGAAGAGATTACTAGCTGTGATGAAATGTGCTGAGTTGAGTGATAATTTTGCTGATTATGGACTGTGTTAAGAGCCTTCAGTGTATTTGAAATTCAAATCTTGTGCTTTCTTGAAAGGCTATCATATAATCCACCGTCTAAAGCACATCTGGAAAAGCCAAATCATTTCAAAAATTGAGGCAACCTTAGCAATCCTTTCAAACTCAAGAAGTGAATATGCATCTCACAGTCTTAAAATGACAGATCATGCAGATACGCCAAATGCTTCCATCTTAATTATATATGTGCTCAAGATAAAAAGAATAGTTTACAATTAGTAATGTCTTCCAGAGAGTTATCTATCATGTATAGAATATTTTGGAGAAGATTTTGATTTCTCCTTATCTAGTCATTATTAGTATTTATTAATAAAAATTTTGACCACTGCATGCTCAACTGTAGGATCAGCCTGCTTTGTCCAGTTTACCCAGCAGTTGCTGTTTAGGGTGAGTATTTTGGATGGAGGACCAAGCTTAACTTCCTGCTGTGAATTTTTCTGGCAACATAAGAATGAACTGGTTTAGGATATTAAATTAATTAAAAAGATCATGTTTCTGGGCTTTTGAATGAAAGCGAAAGGCTGGACCTATAAGGATAATTCAGAACAGATTAAAAAAAACAAAACAAAACAAAAAAAAACAGAGAAGGAGTTGGCAACATACTTCAACAGCTCCTTCTCCACTGATTTGGAATAAACACTTAAGGCATTTTTCCCAAACTACTCTGCAATTTTTTTACTGTAGGCCTATTGAGTGTTCTGGGATATGTCTCTCGCAAATCCTCCTGGAAGAATTTAATATCACTCACAGTTTACTTGTCTGCGAATCTGGCTACCATGATTTCTCATCAAATCCTTCATCAAATGTATGTTACATGTTTTATAGCAAGTGTGACAGTTTCAAATAGGAGAGATTCAGAGCAACTTCACAGTATCCTGTGAAGCTCTTCCACAAAAAAGACAGAAGGTTTGGTCTCTGCTTTACCACCTCTCAGGAGAGCACCCTGCCCTGTCATACTGGTGTTCATCGTGAGAATTCCATTACTTCTGTCTGATTTTCCCCATTAATTCACTAGGAAAACTTTTGAAATGTTGATTTTGGAAGTATCAAAGTAAAGACTTCATTTTTGTCATTCTCTTTAATTTTATCTTGTAGTTTGACCAAATTCCACCCAGATTAAAACGTGGTTTTAGTTGATCCAAATTGCATTTGTAGTGAATAAACTGTTCATTAACAAATATAATTTACTCCTTTCTGATACTTTGCTAAATATTTAAGCTTCATTTTATCACAAAAGGAGACTAGGACAGATTTTTTTTAGTGAGCAGAATATGTGAATATATGGTTGCTAGCAAATAGTTTCAAAACAATTTTGAAAAATTAAGTTAACTGAGAAATCAAGTTCTCTTTTAATATGCAAATATATTTTAGCCACACAAAATGCTTCTGTGGAATGGATATAAAAATTTCCTGCTAGGAGAAAATAATGTAAAATTTAAATACAAAAATAAAATGCTTTAAAAGAAACTAAAAAAAAAAAAAAGCCCAACCTTTTTGTAGATATTTTTCATTGTCTCTCTGTTCTTCAGAGTGCTTATGATATATCTTTTTAAACCTCTAACCAAGTTTTAAATCCTTATGTATGAGGAGACCTATGTAGTAAGAATACAAGCACATATACACCTTTTAGAGAAGATTTACAAGTCATAGCTGTGAAGACAATACAGTCGTTCACAGATCAGTGAAAACCCTAAGTGTTCATTTAACCTTTAGCCTTAGTGTCATGGAAACCTGTAGTGGTCTTTCACCCATAACACCCTTGAAAATGAAGATTCCTTCTGGCCAGGAGACTTTCAATTACACTATTGATCAGAGCTATTTAAAGGATTATGAGCTCCTCATTTGGGCTGTAAAAAAACTAATTACATGCCAAGGAACAATATCTGTAATGCAGTAGGTTTTGAAAATACCTACATTGCTACACATATGAAAGGCAATTAGATGCATCAAATAACTACAGTGGAATAGTTAGCATCTGAAGTAATTATTTTTCCTTAATTTTTAGCTACCTAGAGAACTAGGATTTGCTATTTTACATTAAATCTAAAAGAAAATTTACAAAGCTAAGTTTTCATTTGAATAAACTCACGCTGCAGGTATGCTGATAGTATGTATGAACTGAGATCAATTTTTATTTCACCAAATAACTGAACTATGTAGTCATAAGGAACCTTAATGAGATAAAAAAAAATCATATCAAGATGAAAATGCATTACAATTTCTCTTTTCTTATAATATAGTGTCTTCTGTCCTATCTCTGAGTTCAGTGGGTAATATTTCAGAATTTTCAAAATAGCTTTCGCATTCTGGTATTAATAAATAATCTGTATTGGCTTTCTATTTTCAGTTTCAATTTCAATAAATGTGATGAACTCACACTCCAAGGTACTACTAACACTAATGAGTCTATCCTTTGTGTATCTTGCTAACAAAAGAAGGTAGTTAGTATTTTTACAACATTACAATTTCAGAAACAATTATTTTGGGTATAAAATGTACCACTAACATCTCCCTAATATTTTTTATTTATTAAATTGTGTAATGAAAGTACTTTGGATCTGTTGAAGGTTCCAGAGGTTTGCATCTCGAACAGCTCAAATACAACAGAAACCGTATTGCTTCCCAGTAATTTATTTTCACTTCATTGTTAGAGTCAGGTGTTATGTATGGACCATTATGAAACAGATTCTCAGCTAGAATAAATGATTCAAACTCAATTGACATCAGTGGAGTCAGGCTAACTTACACTGGTTTAGGAGCTAATTGTGCCTGTTATGATATTTAATACCAATTGTATAATTGTTCAGTTGTTCAAAGTTTTAAAACAGCAGCAGTGTGGCAGGTAAATATATAAAAATGAATTCTTGGTTCTGTTATACTGTTTTTCTGCAGAGGTCATAGCCTTGTTTATATTCAAGTATTTCACATTTATTTTATATAAACACATCCTTTAGAAACAAGGAGTTATATTTTGCAGCTTAACAGATGGCTCAGAGAATAAGTTCAACAGCAGAATTATTTATGAAAAATTGGTCTTTCAAGAAGAGCGAACATGAGCATTTTACTTCAGCTTCAGAATATCCCATTGGTCATGGAATGAAGTTTATAGGCAGCCATGCACTCGCACACTGGTTACGGAGTCCTTTAAGCAGTATTTCAAGCATGCAAATGTAAATTATTAGGGGGAAAAAATTAAGAGAGTTCATAGCTTTAAAAGGCAATGAAATTATTTGATAAGAAAGCTGTTAAATGGCTTGATTGAGTTTAAACTTTTCTCTGCTGGATAGAGTGCTATAGTAATTTAGATCACTCAGATTATGAAAATGTTTTGCATTATTGTTAGATATTTTTGCTGTTGAAAACTTGCAATTCTCTTCTGGATCAAGGTGTTAGTTTTCATCCTATCTTAATCAAACGAGTCTGATGATCTTTGCTAACAGAAGTTTATACATCTAGGTGTTATCTTACAGTGGTGAAATTATTACAAAAATGCTTTTGAAATATACCAGTTAATTGTTAACATGTATCTGTGGGTCTTCCAAAATAATGTTTTTAGCCTTTTAGATGCGAACTTAAACCAGTCTGTTAAAATTGGTGCTGTGCCAAGGAAAGGGCTAACCTGCAGCAGAGGATCATCAAAAGTGTGGATGCCAATGCATGTATCGCTGTTTAGTCTTGACAGACAGGCCTCCACCCATCATCCTCCAGGGGCCGGTCAATCAGACTCTGGCAGTGGATGGGACAGCTTTGCTGAAGTGCAAGGCAACCGGTGACCCCCTTCCTGTCATCAGCTGGTTAAAAGAAGGATTCACCTTCCTGGGCAGAGACCCTCGAACATCCATACAGGATCAGGGAACACTTCAGATTAAAACTCTGCGGGTGAGTAGCGATAACAAAACAAGCGCTACAAGTGGAACGTGGCAAGTCTTGAGCTGTTGGTGTGTGCCTCAAGCAGCTCTGCTGGCTTGCTGTCTGGTGTCTTCAGAATTAACTTAAGTGTCTCTTTTACCATGAAATTCTCACCAAGTTCACATCCCATTTCATTCTTTGACGTAGTGTATAGAAGAGGGGGTGAAAAAAAAAAAAGAGCCAAGCTATCATCAGATATTTCTGTTAGAATTCCCTAAATATAGAATTTATATTTAAAAACTTATGTATATTGCAAGAAAATACATGAGTTTGGGATAGATAGACATGTAAAAGAATGGGCCTTCTTTATCTTTTCAGTCAGTCTTACCATGAAGCCATTGGCCTGTTGTCTCTGTTAAAACTTAGAGCAGTTCATTGTCAACACCTGATCATAGCCTTTCAAGGAGCTATTGTGCTAGCAAGTGATTCTGGAGTTCATCAGGTTTTGACCGTGCACTTTCTCCATCAATGAGCCTTGGAAGTCTCGAGCTGGCTGATTTATTCCAATGTTATGCTTGCTGGAGATGTTCCATCAGGCTGCAAATGGGAGAAGACAACTGGTAATGTTACATACATGCAGTCGTATGCAGAGGGATTTCTATTCTAAAAGAAATTCCTATCGTAATATTTACATTTTGACAGATGAGATAATACAGTATCTTAAAAGTACAAAGAAATCTTATAATATTCCAAATAGCGTAATGTCTGATTTTGTTGATAAACATTGCATCACTAATCTTTGTTGGGCATTTAATTTTTCCCTGTTCAAAGACAAAAATGTGTATTAGTTTGCGTATATGTGGACAAGCATGTACATGGAAAAAAAGTAAGATGAATGTAATTGTTTGACAAGAACTTAAAGACAATTTCAGAAATCATTTAATTTCATCAGCAGTAATTTCTGCAGTTAGCTTTGCCATCCAAAACATGTCAATAAACACAGCTACTGAGGACAAGACATAACGACTAGTTTTCTGTTCTGATACCATCTCAGCAGCGATCGTAGATGAATTGTCAACTTCTTTGGAACAAAATGGAATTTTTTAAAAAATTTATGCTAGCTTTCCTTGAGTAAACAATTTATCCTTCCTCCCTGGGCTGAAGGCAGGTTTAGGCCATGAAGGTTAATGCATTTTTCCTGTAGAGCTGGATTAAAGAGTGCGCTTGAATAGTCAAGATTCCCCAGTAGTGTTAGAAAGCAGCAATTAAAGGTGGAAGCTTAGTGATTTCAAACAAACTTTCCAGCATCGATGATGGGGTTCTGTGGAGTGTCCATGAGGCAGAAGCTCCTGGGATACCTGTCTGCATGCAGCTATGCAAACAATGAAATTGGTTCTGAATCGTGCCAGCGCATTAATCTCGCTGTCAGAGGCACAAGGTCTGTAAACGAAAGGAAAAAAAATTGCTTGCAAGGAGAGAAGAAAACAGTATTAGTAGTGAGTGTGGTTTTGAAAGACATGAAGCTTTTATTGATCCTTAAGTGGCTCATTCACTAGTAACCAATTTTCCTTAAAGGCTCAGAAAGACATTTTTTATAAACCCCTCGATTGCAGTAATGTGCACTGTTTGACTCAGACTTAAGAACAAAAAACATACAGAACCATAAAAAACGGATTTCTCCTGTACCTTGCAATTTTTATGAATTAAATATGGATTTAAATCTGGAATGTATAACTCTTCTCTCAGGTCTACCTAAGAAGGACTAACTGCTTCCTAAGCAAAAAATGGCCACAAAATACGTCCAAGTACATCTATCACCACGTCTTCATCCTTCTCCTCCCCTCACAAATAATAATCACTATTGCAATCATAAAAGATTTCAAGATATGGGTAAAGATGAGCCACTACTATTTAAACCTTTGAGATCGCCCTCTTCTGCTGTGTAACTTTTTTCTGTGTGTATATAAAATTATTCAGGAGTTTGCAGCAGTCACAGCGAACCATGGACTGCTGTCATAAATGTGAATCTAGAGATTTTTCTGATGAGCCAATCTTCCCAGTTGCTCTGAGGAAGACAACTAAAAAACTCACATACATCAATCACTCAGTACTCTTTCGGACAGGTCAACGCTGACAGAAAACTCCCTTCTGCTCTGTAGAAGGATATCACACTGGATTTAGACACCTGAATTAACTAAGAAAGAAAACTTTATTTTACTGAATATCACAAATTTTCCATTCACCTCTCCTGTTGTTTTCCATAGCATAAAAAATGTGTATATAATTAAATTATCAATACACTGTGTCTGTATCTAATCCGTCCACAGTCTGGAGGTTAGATAATTCACCATAACTTGCAAGAGGCAGCATATCTCCAGCTTGCTTTATATGTCGAGTTTACCTTCTGCAAGTTACTCTGTTGTATATACCATATACTTCGTTGAGTATGCCATACACCATCTGTCAGGGCAGTACACAAATGAAGTTGAGAACTGTAACCTTAAGAAATATTCTCCATTATGATATAATGAAGAATTATTCATTTAATAAAAGCTCAGAAAAAGCAAAATAAACCCCTACTTCAGGCTCTCTCCTCTGGAAAACGTCACCTTTCAAGAATCTTTCTCATTTCATTAGCAGTACCTCTTTATTTTGAGTCTCTGAGCCATTGCCAGAGGGTTTTAATTATTGCATGTATTTCACAGAAAAAACATCTCCTAAAACGCAAGTTATACTCATTCAGACAATTGAACTGGCATTAATCAGTTCCTTCCTGTCCCTAAGACTGGTGCAGTGCAGTCCCAGTGTATCTGAAGAAAATACCAACAAAATTCAAACATGGCAAAGTTAAAAATCAATCGAATTGTGTATCAACAAGTAATCTAAAGGACATCTCGCTTACTTGCCTTGACATTCTTCTTGAAGAGTGAGCTATAGTGCCAATCTGCATTTAGCAGAAAACCCATTACAATTCCTTAAAGTTCAATAAAGCTTCTTGGATGCAGTCCTATTTCCGTCGAGTCATCTGATGGTGAATATAATTCTTCTCCTTTATCACTGGAGTCAGCACTCTCCCTCTTCTACTTCCATCTCCAGATTACCATGCCTTATACATGGTGGTAGGAGGGCTTCTCTGTATTTTGTGCTTTGTAAAGTTACCATTTTTCATCCATCTCTGTAGTCGTCCCTAGTTCCAGTCTCAGAGATCTTTACTTTCAATTTAAGTAAGGAACAGCAAACCACTTGGCAAATTTTCCAGTAGAAGAATTTATACAGCAATGAGATTAATATCGACAATATAACTCAAAATGGTTTCCCCAGATAAATTTGAAATACATGAACTGACAAGAGAATTACAATTGTTTTATACAAATACATTTTTTTTGCTACCGAAGTGCCTTGCAAGCCTGAAATAAAATCCTATGTGAAACAGAAGAAAGGTAAGCATGATGTAGGGTCTGCTTTAATTTTGCCATTTGAAACTGAGGACTGTCTGTGTAGAGAGAACCACTGTTAAGTCTCAGCAACAGTATTTGTATGTGTGGTGGCCTGTATAGAAATGACTTAATCTGTCATAAGAGTCTAAGATGATGTAACAGCCTTCCTGGTACTGGAAACTGTATCTCTGAGTCATCATGGGATAATGAACCGTGAGATTTTATCCTCTAAGAGATTAATTGGTGTTATATTGTTACCTGATTTCACCTGCATTTGTTGTAACCAATACAAAGGCTGACACTGTCCAAGTCATCCGTTCTGTAGCACTTACATGCTGTATTGGTATCGTTAACAATATGAAAATTAGGATTAGAAAAGTATTAGAAGCAAGTAATCTTATTATAGTTCTCTAAAAGTAAGCCACCATTAAATGATTGTTTGAATAAGTCTGATGCCCTCTAGTCTGGTGTAAAATGTAGGCTAAGTCCTTCTTACCAAGAAACATTTAGAAAAAGGAAATTAGAGTAAACTCAGTCAGCTGATGGTAAAGGGTTGTTAAAACTGCCTTGAACTGTTTTTTATGTCTAGCTATCAGATACTGGGACTTACACTTGCGTTGCTACAAGTTCCAGTGGGGAGACATCTTGGAGTGCTGTGCTGGAGGTGACAGGTAAGTGATGTCCAGGGGCTGTTTTTCAGTTGGCACAAAATTGAAGTGTAGACTATATTAGAGCAGTCTGAGTCAAATAATTCATTCTAGAAAGTCTGGGATTGAGATGGAGAAGTTTTAGGTGGGAAGGCGGTGTTCCTTCACACGCCTTGCATTTCATTGCTATTGTCTTCAAACACCCATTGACATTGCAACAATTTGTATTTGTCTCCAGCGACAGCAGTATGCTATAACTCTTCTAAACAGGAGTATTAATAAACTGTGGATTCATCCAGTAATTGGCTTGGGCAAGAAAACTATTATGCCTACACAGAGGCCTATCAAAGTCCAATATGCTCTCTGTGAGTACTGGAGTCCATCTGGATATAGGAACTTTTTCAGCCTCGTAGTAAATGAGGTTTTGGTATTTTATGTAAATTTCAGCAAAGCTGGGCTTTTTTTTGCTATTCTTTTCTTTTTTAGTTATTCTTTCTTTTCTTTTTTATATACATTTATATATAACCTTTTGAGTTTTGTGGGTTTTTTCTTTCAGTATATGCCTAAAGAATGATAACTCTTCATCCAAAAATATATGTGGTAATGCGATTGTTGACTTAGTTCTTTACAGATTAAGAATACTGGGTTTGCTGATTTTGCAGATGTTTTTCCTTTTAATCTTCTGTTTTGATCAAATTCTTAGTTCTTTACAGATTAAGAATATTGGGTTTGCTGATTTTGCAGATGTTCGGCATGTTTTTTCCTTTTAATCTTCTGTTTTGATCAAATTTATACAACCAAGGATAAAAAAAAATTGTTTTGTATTTGCCCCTCACAGAATCTGGTGGAGCAACAGTCAGTAAAAATTATGATATAAATGACCTCCCTGGACCACCATCCAAACCTCAGGTCACTGATGTTACTAAGAACAGTGTCACCCTGTCCTGGCAACCAGGGACCCCTGGCAGCCTACCAGCTAGTGCATATATCATTGAGGCTTTTAGGTATGTGAATTATTCCACTTTTAATCTCCTTCCTTTCTGATTTTGCTTAAACCCTGGTACCAGCTGTTCTTCTGGTATTGTGATGTTCTTTTGGACTTTAAATGTATCATTAGAAGTTCATTAAAAGACTCAACTCCTATAGCAAGTATTGATTCTTATTTTTTAAAAATTTATCACTTTTTCAAAGTAATTAATTAAAGGCGCATCTAACTATTTCTTCAGATCAACAGGAATATAACAGGACAATGCAGTCATCATTTGTTACTTTTCCCTTAGCATTGATGGTTAGTGAGAGCCTCCTGTGGGAATATGCTGCAAGTCAAATCATTTGAGGCAGTGTTATCTTGACTATCATAGTACAAATAAACTGAAAATAAATGAATAATCCTGAAGCCTCTCTGCATACTTTTTGTTAACAGAAATTGTTAACAGTACCTGTTAAAGAGTCAAAGCACTTTAAATTTATATTTTTTAATGTTTCAGATAGATTAAAGTTTTTAACTGAAAAGGTTAGTGTTGATAATTTAGGATTTCATCCTGCAGCTTGAGGCTGAAGAGAATCCAGCTGCTCTCTTTCACAGAGCAACAATTAACACAGAAGAACTCATGGGCTCCAGTTCAGCAAGTTTGTTTAAGCACGGGCCATACCTCTGACACATATCAGTAATACACGTTTCAGCTTAAATGTGCACATTCTTAAATCTTTTCCTTAATCAGGATGTTCAATAAATGAAAAATAGTTTAGTTCATCTTTTAATTAAAATTTATGCAAGAATTTGTCAAAATCGTATGCACGTAAATTTAAGAAGTTTTAGTGATAACGCTTCATCCTGCTATGTTAATATGCAAAGAACTTTACTGTATGTGCAGATTGTTGATATTGTTCTGGAACTCATCCTTTATGCATTACATGAATGAAACAATTGAAGCAACATGAAACTTGTGGCTTTCCATTTTCTTTTTGGTATACTTAATGAATTTTTTTATTAATGCTACACAACAAAGCACAATAAAATAAATTTTTCTCTTTAAACTTTTGTGATATTTCACCCTAGATAAGCTTTAATGGTATTCCATCGATAACTTGAACAAAAGCTAGGCATTTCATTAAAAGCTGTTTTAATAATTGCACTTGAAGTCTCTTTATACAGTGGATTGTAATCGAATTATAATAATGTCCAAGGGAAAATGTGACAGAAAAAATATTCATATGCGTTCTTTCATTTACAAGCATGTTTTCAGAGGGTTTTTTGTAACTTTGAGTACGAATTTAGTTCAAGAAGAATACTTTTCTTCCAATGACAATTTATTGACATAATTTACTTAGGAAAATTATTCTTTTAACAGGATTTTCTTTTCTAAGGCTTATGTTCAAGAGTGGCCTATTTATCATTCAAATTTACTTTGCAGCTTTCCACACTTTCCTTTTGCAGATATTTATTTTAGAGAGATAGCAAAAGCTTTTGCTTCTGTTAAAAGGAGAAATACTTTTGACAACTATGTTATTTTTATTTTTTTATCCCATCTTGATGAGTTAACTGAAACAAATATTTTTATTTTTACCCTGCTTTTACTACTTCTTCCTGTATTTAGACTTGATATACAGTTACGAAAACAGGTCCTTTTACTTCTTTAACTTGCATTAGTCTACAATCTTCAACCCTTTTCTCATTGCAGTCAATCTGTGAGCAATAGTTGGCAAACGGTAGCTAACCACGTGAAGACCACTCTCTACACTGTGAGAGGACTGCGCCCCAATACAATCTACCTGTTTATGGTGAGAGCTATCAATTCACAAGGTCTGAGTGATCCCAGCCCTATGTCAGATCCTGTCCGAACACAAGGTAATAGTAATTATTAAGGTTTACATGCTTGAGCTAAAATAGAAAGAAGGAACTGAGAATTGACAAGTAGGTCAGTCTGGCCATTTGGCTTTAGCACTCTGACTAAAGGAATCATGAATTGAGCTTAACCAATAAAGATAAAAAATAGTCCAGTGTTTGCTGTATCAATCTGGAGTTTAGGAGAGAGGGGGTAGCTCTTTAATCCTTTGAACATTGTTGACCTTTTGGTTTGCAGTTCGTTTAGACTTGGTGTGCTTCTTGATGCCTGGTTTCTATTGAAAATAATGTGAATTACTCAAGCTTTTCTGAAAAGTGCTCTGAATACCATGCTGTCCTCAGTATCTTTTCTCTCTATGTCCTTACTTCTTCTCCATTATTATAATAAGGATATACTATAATAACAAGTGCTTATGACAGACAGACACCGTATTTAGCATCAGTTTTAATCAGAAGAATTGCACAAAGTACCTGTAGTATATTGATTAATTTAGCCCAACATTTAGGCAGAGATTTCATGTAAATTATGGCATCTACACACTAAGAATATTTTCAGAAAATCCTAAAATGGTTTGAGTCGGAAGGGACCTTAAGGATCATCTAGTTCCAAATCCCCTGCCATGGGCAGGGATCCCTTCCACTAGACCAGGTTGCTCAAAGCCCCATCCAGCCTGGCCTTGAATGCTTATATTTTGAAGTTATTCTGAGAAAAATATAGGTCTTCTATTTATATACCTAGATTTCGGAATTCTTTGTATTAATTCACTGCATAAACCAAGAGGGAAGGCTGAAGTGAAATCACTAATTTATAGGGTGGTGTTATAATTGATAACTGTGATCCTCCAATGCTATTGAATTCTGTTCACATTACATCAAGCTCTAACAGTGTATAACTGCCACAAAAAAATTTCTCTTCACAGCATGGATTTTCTTTATTGCATAACCGTGATATCTAGCCTCTCTCATCCTGGTCTGTTCCTGAATAAATCTGTCCTTAGTAATTATCCCCTCGAAAGGGTAATCATTGCTGTAAATGGAGAAAAAGGAGAAACAGAGCTGCTTTCTGAAAAGCTGAAGGAGTGAGTTGGGTAGGGATTTCATGGCTTGACTATCCATGGAGTATCACAAGTTTTCTTCTCTTTCTTACTCTCCTATTATTGTGGAGTGACTCAGGCTTTTCATTGCACCAGCCTTTTAGTCTGCATAACTTATCACCTAGCTAAAAAAACAACTTTGTTTGGCATTGGAGTGTCAAGTATAGACTTTTTATCTGACATCCTGACAAGCAATTTGATTTCAGTAAAAACATGTCTTTTAATTAGCTATGGCATGTGTTGCAGCTTCCATTTCCAGAAGCTGTTTAGCAGTCAAGCACAGTGAGACATGTACAGGATTTATAGCTTCTTTGCAAGCCTGCAGTTTAATAGAATTAAATCATAAAATCAATTGAAAATTAACATAATGTTTTGATGTGATTTCTAATTATGCCTGAATTCAATTCAGGCTCACAGAAGAAGCTGACACACAGTAGAGAGCCTATTCACAGCGGCCATGGACGAATAAAAAAGCATCTATAATGGTACTATATAATATTAATTTGCAACAAGTGTCTGTGGTAGCTTTAATAGCTGAGCATTTGATTTCCTGGTATTAAGTACAGCAAATACAAATAATGGAATTTTATGCATGTTTTCACCAGTAGACTACAAGTAGACAATCAGAAGATTTAGCTTATATGACTTAGATAAAATAAGGACAGAGAAATCAGTAGTTACTCTAAGAAAGGAGCTGATTTCTTGTTTGGATTATTAACATATCAAACCATAAATTAAAAAAAAACATTTTAAAGAAACTATATAAAATCCTATCCCTGGAATTTAAACTACTAGCAACTAATAATAAGTTCACTGGAAGCTGTTAAAAGAGAGGTTAGAGAAGTTATATAACCAATTTAATTTTAGAGATCTCTTAATTTTGATCAGAATATAGCTTCTGGAGCCATTTTTGCTTGAGTCATGATTTTATTATTCTAGTATTTGACAATATCTTCATAGATAGATCAACTGCTTTTCCACCAGGAGTCTCCTAGTAACGTGAAAATGACATTAGAAGACATTACACTGTGAGCATCACATCTGCATATTTTTCCAAGTGTATATACCAGAAAACGGAAATCCACATGTACATCTTGATACTCATTTCTTACCGTTATTAGCTCATGTAATTCTCTTACTTCTGGATGTATCTCCTATTCAAATGATGAAATGCAGTTCATACAAACACACTATGTAGAAATGTCTTTTCTCCTGAGAGAATATAGGTACTTTGTTGGTTGTATACCACAGGGTAAAAACCTAAAATGTAGCCATGGGTAGCTGTAGGTATTTTGTACCAAGGATTGTGACTTTTTATGGAGAGCAGCATAAATTATCCTGTAAACCAGTCCAAGTTGCTGTCCTACAGATTTGTTTTATTATATCTCTCTGTTTCTTGGTCACTTTGAGTAGGCATAATTTGCTATACGAGCTCCTTCACTGACGTCCATATTTGGATTATATTCCCTTTGGAGATCCACAGAACCATTTTCATTTGAACATCATTAGAAGCCTGTGGCAGTGTTGTTTACTGGTGCCTCAGAAACCATAACAGTCCAGAATTAGGAATTTGAAATACTGATGATCAAAACGTACTTTCTTTCAAAATTTAGAGGCATGTGATTCAAACTCAGTTGTTATATTTAAATATTCCATTTTAAAGAGCACTATTATTTTTTCTTAATAATATTTAGAAGAAGAAAAGAAATCATATGCTTCACGCTCCCATATCTAAGACCATCAGACGGGAAAAAAAACTTTCACATATTCTCTTCACAAGGACATGATGTTGATCCAAAAAGAGGAAAAGTGTCTTTGGCTAGTGAATCCCATGGGAAAACCAAGCAGAATTTACAGATTACTAGACAGATAGGACCATAATGTACTGGGCCTTTTTGAATATAATCATTGCTTATGTTTCAAATTCCCTGTTCTGGTAAAATTACAAGTAAATTCCAGAAGAAATAATCAGTATGTGTATTTCTAACAGGCATTATGCAATCCATATAGACAGCTGACATAGTAAGGGCATCTCTAACTGTTGACCAGAACCGATGTTATAAGATCCTTGAAGGATCCATTGAAGGGATCTAGACTTCATTGGCTAAGTTGGAGGGAAGGGACGTGGTATAGTGATATATTTTATGTATATATATATAAAATATTATATTATTATATATATTTTATATACATATATATATATATAGCTAGGTGATAGCTGTAGCCCAGCGTTCTCCTTTTGGCACAATGTAACAGAACATGATGATTTCCAGGAACTATCACTAAGCAGACACATTGTACATCTCCTCTATTTTCTGATACATATTTTGTATTTGCAGTTCCTATTTAGCAAAGGTAATACAGCTTCATTCAGTTTAATACAGTGGCGTAACCCAAATGTGGTCCCTAAGGACTTGGTACTAGGGCCACACGTAGTGCTGGAGATGGTGTCATTGTTTTCCATAGATGTATATTAAGTGATCAAATTTCTTCAGATTTTGACTAGAAGAAATAATTTCCCCACACACTTTGAAGGAATCTTTTATCTTCTAATGTTGAAGAGAAAATTTTTTGTGGTTGAGTGGTTTTGTTTGCTTTTTGTTATATCAGAATCAGTTTGGCTTCATAAATTAATTTTTTTCATATTTGCACTGGATTTCATTATCTATATCTGTAAAGAGAAAATTTGCTTTGCAGAAGAAAACGCTGTTTTTAGTGTTTGGTTTCTTGTGCGCATGGTATATGGGGAGGGGAAGCTTAGTGAAAGTTTGGAAACATGCAATGACTTAATGTCATGTATGCTTCCTAAAAATAAAAAAAAACCTATTCATTTTCTTCGGTTATACTACCCAATTTGGTTCCAGACATCTGGGCAACATTATTATTATCTGAGTATTTTGGAACTAGTGAATGTTGCGTCTCTCATCACTCAGCAGATCTGAGGCAACTTTGCCATCGAGTCTGAATACTCATTTAAACGTCTTTATATTTCATTATTTCCTAAAGATGAATGGTTTGTTTACATTGCTTGATATGCTTTGGAGTTCATATTTAAACCTTCGTACTGTATTGTTTTAAACCCAGTACTATAAAGGGTGTTTAAATCGGGTTGTTAAGCTATTCAGTAATTCCTATTGATGCCATATATAGCTCTTCTCATTAAAATAATGCTTTCCTGTGTGTGCCTGGCCCGACAGATATCAGCCCACCAGCACAAGGTGTGGATCACAGGCAAGTCCAGAAAGAACTGGGAGACGTCATTGTACGGCTGCATAATCCTGTTGTGCTGACACCCACGACGGTTCAAGTCACCTGGACAGTAAGGCTTCTGTTATTATTGCCTTAACAGTACTTTAATCTTGCCAATTTATCCCTGCAGTTTTTTGCTACCTTGAAAAGCTCCAGTCTTGACCCCAATGTGAGTGCTCTGATAAAGTAATGTTATATAGGCATATATATGGTAATGAAATGGTCTTTTTATTTTCTGTTTCAAGTCAGGCGGGTTCAAAATCTTCAGTATTCAGCTCAAAGTGAGCTAGCTGTCTGGCTAGAAAAATATTATAAAAATGAATATGCTTAACACCATAATCTGAAGGATAATTGATCTGTGGACTCATTACTGTGCATGTCAAAAAATAATCAAAGTTAAATACCGGTATGAAATTTCTGTATGAAAAAGCACTTCCCACTTCAAGGCATAGGGACCTCTGACAATACCCTATTATTTGGTGACCCTAAAATGCAAAAATAGCTTTCCTATATGGCACTTGTAGTGAAGCGAGAAGCACATCGTGCTGATGCCTGATCCGCTGTGTAGCATCTGGTTTTCTAGCATAAACCTTACCTGCAGTCAGTGCATATCCTTTCATTATAGAAGACCAGGATCTTTTTGGCAGTACTTAACATTTCTATTTGAGGGGTCAAACAACTAGGTAGAATTTCTAATGTAGTGTTTGGCTTTCAAAATTCTCTTGTTTCCCTTCCTGAGACTTGTAGGAAAGGATTTGTAACTGTAGAAGGAGAGAATTCCTAGGGTGCTGCACACCAGAAAAGAATGCTTTACTCTTGGGGCATCTTCACGAGTGGAAGAGTGAGAGAAAGAGTACTGCACTGCACGCCACTTGAGCAGTTGTATTATATAGGATGAATTCTGCTAAAGGGATATTCACCATACTCAGGGTTTTCCTTCTACACGTAATATTGCTGAGGTTAATGTGTACAGGGGATTATATAACAGGAGATAAGAAGTGTGGCAATGGATTGTGCATTATAAGGATTACTGTTGGTTTTGTACAACTCAGCCATATTTACAAGGGTTTATGCACCATCCTTGTTCTGACAGATTTCAATGGCCAGGAGACAGATTAGAATGAATACAGAAACACACAAATTTGTCTGTTTTGGAAGATAATTTAGAAAACATGTCATTGCATTTTGCCATTGATGATGTCAACACGCAGCTGGTCTTTCTGAAAATGCTGTCTGTTTCAGCTACACAACTCCAGGACAGGCTGATTAACCTTTGTAGCAAACCCTTTCACCCAAGCAGATGCATCAGTAGTTCAGAAACCTTGGATGTTAGCAGCCAGTAGTTGTAAACCTGGATCACATCCGTGTGGTGCTCCTTCAAGTCCTCTCTTCGGCATGACAGCTGTCAGAAATAGAGTTCCATAGGCTTGCCCTTGCCTTAGCATATACTACAAAAGGAAGCCCCAATATAAACAGAATTCAGTTTCATGCAATGTAACCAATGTCATGATATTATAATGAAACATGTATAGGTATGTATTTATGTGTATTTTTATATATATATATATATATGGGTGTGTGTATATCTATCTAGCTATCTAAATGAATCTGTTGATGTCCCTGCTAAAAAAAAATGAATGAAGAAAATATGGTAAGGTAAAGCAAAATTGTTAGGGATGCAATAGATATCAGTTTATTGGGAAGATCCCTCAAAGCAGTGACCCTATACCACCTGACAAGCATATAGGCCTCTGTGGAGACATTTCGGAATTGCCTGAGGGAAGAAATACACAAAAAAAATCTCTGGAACAGCTAATTAGAAACTCTCCAGCAACTAGAACAAAACCAATTAATTAACCATAGTCTCTAGGAAAAAAGCCACTCTATCCAGAGAATAAAGTCCACACTATTAATATAAAATGGTTAGACAGTGTAGCTGTCATACAAAAGGACAAAAGTGCCATGAGAGTCACGAGACTCTTTTTGTTGGCTTTCTGCAATTCAAAGAGTGAAGGCCAAGGAACGTCCTTGATTAGTGAGTTTCCTCATCCTGACTTCCAGCAAATTAACACCAATTTCTTTCTTCTTTCTGAGATTGTTTTGATTTTACTTTCTCTTTTTTTCAAATTTGAGTTCAAAATTTCAGAAATAGTTGTCTGCTACCGTGTTGCAATTTTAAAATATACGCATACATATACACGCATATTTTGTCTGTTTTAAAAGAAGGTCAGACTTACAAAGCCAATGTTAAAAAAAAGAGGAATGTCAGAAGTTAAGTTTTCACCATCACTTAAATTTATTCTTCTTGTGCCTAAGTGTTAAAGTGTACCTGTAATTATCTGGTCACATACAGGATCTCTTCTTCATGGAACTATGCAACATTTCTTTTTATCTTCTTTATTCGCTGTGTGGTGCCAGGTCTTATTAAATTCATACCATTGAAACCTTGCATTGAATAAAAAATTATTAGTTTGTCTCACATGCTTGTTTATCTGTCATGCTCTTAACTGTTTGGGTATTTCACCAATAATACTGAATTTAACATCACAATGGTAAAAATATGTCATTATCCTAACTTTACACAAAGAGAGGTGAGGTGCAGAGATATTTATTGCTTATGAGAATTACGGATTCAGATACGCCTACTGTTACCAAATGACTAGTTTTAAACCTCGATCTTGATTTATTTTTACTTTTATCAAAACATTTTGCATTGCAAGAGCATATGATGTACTCCAAGCACTTTTTTAGCTGACTTCAAATATAGTTTGGCACTTCTAGCCTCACTGGGCTTTAAACTGAGAGTTTCATTAGTGGCCAAATGTGAAAAGTTTCCTCGTGTTACAAAGGAGCCCTGTGGCACAAGCAGTAATAAAAATCAGTTCTTCAATATGGCAAAATAATTGTTGCTTTGAAATCCTGACTGCCTTCTGGGAGGCTACCAGGCAGAAGTATAATTTATTTACTTCTTTCTTTTAATTTGACATTAATTTTAGATGAACGTACTTCACTGGAGGGTTCAAGAGTCAAGTCCTTTAGACAGCCTTCTAGTATATCGTCACCTTTTGTCTTGTTACTGCAGGACAGATAAATGGTAGTGCTGTTTGAATTTCCAGAGATTACTGCAAACCTGTACTAGTGAGTTCAGCACAGAGAGCAAGGTATTCTACCCAGATGGAGAATTGCTGTGGGTATCGGTGTGGGAGCAGAGTATTTCTTAGGACACTTGAGGGTAGACATTTACATACTGCAGAGCATCTTGCAAAATATCTTTAGGGTTCACGTTAGCAGGTTTGCCTGAAAGGAGCTTATATTTGCAGCATAAACTGCATTATGAATCTCTTGCCATCTTTTTAACAACCTAATAGCCTAACTGAATGACCTAATTGCCACCAAACCTGTCTCGTGTTCAGCTGCAGTATGTGCAGATTTGAACACGCAGGGAAAACGAGATTCCTGTTCTGCAGAAATGGAGAGCTGTAGTCAGTTTTGCAGTTACCTCCTGCTCTACATATTCCTCGTAAAGAGGGTGAGAAAGAGCGTGCAGGACCAATTATGCTTGTAGGTCGCCTTAAAGCATTAGGTCAGTGCAGAGCAGAACCTACCCAGTAATTGCTCTCTTCTGTCTTTTAAAGGAGCAGCTGCATTTTCTGCCATCAGTCTTTTGAGGGAGAAAGTGTATCTTTGAATCAATAACTGTTGATCAACAACTCTTCTGAGTGGATCTTACTGCTGCATGTACAAATTCAAGAGTAGTTAAGGGTGTCACAGAAGACTAGAAATATTTTCTGATCTCAGTATTTACTACAGAGTTCCTGTAATCTCTGTAATCATAGAATCATAGAACGGTTTGGGCTGGAAGGGACCTCAAAGATCATCTAGTTCCACCCCCCTGCCATGGGCAGGGAAACCCTCCACTACACTGGGTTGCCCAAAGCCTCATCCAACCTGACCTTGAACACCTCCAGGGATGGAGCATCTACAACTTCTCTATGCAACCTTTTCCACTGCCTCACCACCCTCTGAGTGAAAAATTTCGTCCTTATACCTAATCTAAATCTGCCCTCTTTCAGTTTAAAGCCATTGCCCCTTGTCTTGTCACCACATGCCCTTGTAAAGAGTCCCTCTCCAGCTTTCCTGTAGGCCCCCTTTAGATATTGGAAAGCTGCTAGAAGATCACCTCAGAGCTAAGTATTTTGTATGAGGAACTGGCAACCATTTACCAAAAAAAAAAAAAAAAGAGAGAGAGAAAGGAGGATACCTAGGAATGAACCCATTCTTTCATCAACTCAGTGTGCCTATTTCTGCAGCTCTCCCTGTGTGTGATCGTGTACCAAACTTACAGTCGTTTCATGCTTAGCACAGCTGAGTGCAGTTCTTTTAGTTGTAAGCATATGTTCAGTGGCCTGCTGTTGGTGTGACGCATAATTACCACGTAACAAATAGAGGAAACAATGAAGTCACAGACTTTGTGTTATATGTAAGACTGTGTGTCCATGTATATATAGACGTATACACATATGTATGTATATGTGTGGGGTTGCATATGCAAAGTATACTTGTCCTATACCTCACAAATATCTCTGGTTAATCCATGTAATTATCCAAGAGTAATTTCTTACTAATCAAAAAACTCTAAACAAACCAATAAAATCACCTTTCTCAATAAGTAAAGTGAGGTCTGAGTAGCTTCCCAACATTTTGACCATATGAAACACCCTCTTCATTCAGACTAGTGGACATGAGAGATAGCTTTGTGTCCTCTCCTTGATACTGAATGCAACTGAATGTTTATGGAAAACATTAAAAATGCATAGTATTTTCTTTCATAAGTACCATCCCAGACCCTGTACGATGGAATTACTGTCAATAATCTGAAGTTCGGGCAGATCCCTCAGCTCTGTTGTAATCAAATTTCTAATTGATAGCTCTGTGAAACTTGTGTGAGCCTCAAATCAAGCTAGTTTATAGCACCTATATACACGACAACTTCGTTGCACTATTGTGTTCTGCTCTCCTTTTCCTTGTATTTTTTAGTCTTTTAGGTTAGGAACTTAGAAGTCTAGGTGGAAAAGAGGTGTATGAATAATTAGTACATTACCTACATGTAAGTAGATACAAAAGTGTGATGGACTCAAAATTAGTATACTATACGCATACCGTAGGGGTCCAGTTCTTCTCAGTGTTTTGGTGGATGCATTTGTGTGTGTACCACTCTGTACAAAACAGTTTCCACGCCTTTTTGTAGCAACACACCATTACTGTTCAGCCTAGTCAATTCTGAATTTTCAGATGTTCTCTGCCAGGCAGCAGTCAGTAGAGCTTGAAAGCACAGCAAAGACAAAATGGAAAGTTCTAATAAAGTTATGCCGTTCTTTCAGCATAGCTTCTAACTCAGAAGTTAGGCAGGAATCAAACTCAGTGTTTGATTATTAAACATCATAGCCTTATATTGTAATTTAGGTTGAGAATCTGTATTACAAAGTTCATGAAAGCATTATTCTTGCTGAATTTTGTAGTAAACATGAGGTTCATAAAGTCTTTATGTCCGTAAAACATTTAGTTAATGAAAGTCAAACATGGATAAAAACAATTTACTCTGATTTACAGACTCCCTTCATCTGGAAACAGCTGCTTAATGTTCTTCTTAAAAACACAGCTTGATTCTTTCGGTATTAACAAGCTATTATTGTGAGTTATATCCCTCTTTCAGTGCATAAATTCACTTAAAGTGAATGTAGAGAAGTTTAGAAAATGCAAGCTTAATGTTGTTGTAACATATGTTGCAAGGTTTTTAACAGTGACAGTTTTGATGAAAGACATTTCTGCTTTGCTCTTATAAATAAAAGCTTTCTTCTTGCTTGCCCTGCTTTTTAATGTCTAAGAAACTGTGTCCCCTCTGAATGCCTCAATAAACTTTAAAAAGATTATAGGAGAAGTGTAGACCCTGGGTTGTGTTTTCAGCCTTAATTCATTTATTCTTAAGAGAAGTCAAACAAATGTAGCTCTAATTCCGAAATATCTTTGAGCTAGCAAATTGTCAAGAACAGAAAAATCCTACTTGTTGAATCTTAGTTATATCCCAGAGATTTACCAAACAGCTAGTTCTGTAGTCTTGTTATTTGTGCTGCACTTTCTTTGGCTCTTTATTTGATGGCTACAGAAGCAGCTGGGTTTGGTTTGGTTTTATCCATCAAATTGTTTTGACTGTTTTTTCAGGCAAAATTAATGCAAACATCATAATAGGTTTAAACATTGTTTTGTGCCTTTTTTTTTTTCAAATAAAAATCTTGTTTACAGCTATGATAGGTTATAATTGTTAAACTTCTATGCATGGTCCAATCTTGAACTGTACTTGTCTAGCAACATATAAAATATAAACCAAAACCAACATTCCATCTCCATCTGATGGCATGAGAGCATCACAACCCCAGGATGCAAAGAGGTTGCTTAAACTGTGAAGGCAAGAAACAGCACATGTCCTTGGAAGTTGTTTTCTCTGCATCTGTCTCATGTTTATTTTACTTTCCTGTGCATCTTATGAAAAGATGAGCTGTGAGCCAAGTAATGGGTTAGCTGAAAGCATGTAGGGTATCTTCAAAGACTTGTCCTTTTCTGAAAAGGATTTGTTTTTCTTTTCTTCTCATATTTCAGCACATCAGTAGCCAAGATGTGCTTAATCAGTTTACATGCAGTAAGCATTATGCCAAAGTTCTCTGTTCATGATTTGTTGCAGGAGTGGGGCCTTGTTTTATGATTTAAGGTGGTATTTGTCATGATATACAGAGCTGGAGAAAGTAAAAGAGAAAGAAATGTTCTATAACAAGTAATGTGAGAAAAACGTTCTTTATATGCAATTAATCAACAGTGACTTACAAGAAGGCAGTTCGATTTTTAAATTCAGCATCTTAAACAACTGCTAATTTTCTCTTTTTCATGAAGACAAAAGTATTCTAGGTAAATGTTTTGTTTTCTTTTTATATAGTTTTGTTACTTTAAAATGTTTATTGATGTGTTATTTAATTTCTAGGTTGACCGCCAATCGCAGTTTATTCAGGGCTACCGAGTAATGTATCGCCAAACATCTGGCCTACCTTCTCCAGCTGTATGGCAGAATTTGGAGGTCAAAGTCCCAACTGAGCGCAGTGCTGTCCTCGTCAGCTTGAAAAAGGGGGTCACTTACGAAATCAAAGTTCGCCCTTATTTCAATGAATTCCAAGGAATGGACAGTGAATCAAAGTCTGCTCGTACCACAGAGGAAGGTTAGTAAAATGGTCAGAAAAAGAAAAAGCTTCTATACCAAGCACTGAAGGTGAAATCAAGAGTGACCATTTTGGTTATTGTGTGTATGCGTAGGTTCAGCTCTATTTCTTCCACACAATTTCTGTTTGTTAGATATAGGGTTGGTATTAGAATTCGATATAGTATTCAGGTTTGTGCTGTAAGTATTCCATGAGAAAGCACTGGGCCAGTCCTATATTCTTCTGGCTGATACGTCCTTCTAATGTACAGGTGCCTTTGGGTCTTTCAAAAAATGTGCAATGTAGCTGTTCTTTTATAACCAGTAGAAACCAGTCTTCTAGCTGCCGTAGAAGACCTTGTTCTGCACTTCGAAAATAAAACTAATAAATGAAACCTTTTACAAATGAACGTTTGATGTTAAGCACGTTTTCTGAATGGGTAATAATGTAAATGAACAGTTTGGTTGGGAGATGGAGACTAGTGAAGGATAGGTATTTAACTAGTCTGAAGGAACTCCAGTCTCCAGGGCATGCCACTTTATTGTTTCTGTTAGCACACCGTCTGTGAAACTGCTCTATTTAGTCCTTTGGAAGATTTCCTTAAATACTTTCCAAGCCTCTGTAAAACATGCAGGATGCAGACATAGTAAGCAGTTTACACTACTGAAATGCACAAGCATTTATATCTGTAGCATGTAGCAAGGTATATATTTTTGCTAAAACATAGGCACTCCAAGACTGCTTTTTTATTGAAAAGCAAAGGGAGTGAGGTGAGATAAAAGTAGTTTTTCTCTTTTTTTAGAAATTTACAGATAGAAACCTATCTTTCTACCTATCTAATGCAACCTTTGCCTGGAATATCTCTTCTGTAATATTAGAGGGATGATCATAACAATGAGGGTTCGTTTTCCCTCTATTTCATTGACTTTTTTCAAAACAAGGGAAAGAAACACTAGTGAAGTTTCTAAATGCTGATATAGGTTTTG